CCTGCCTGTGCAGGTCTTCTTCCCGATTTGTCCGGTGGATTCTTATCTGACGGAGTCGGCACGATGTGGACGTCTCAGTGTTTCCGGCAAATCGGCTTCCATTCGTCACAAACCAAAAAAAACAGACAGACAGACTCCGGGATTTACACGGATTTACATGGAAGGCCTTTGCTGTTTGGATCTGATCAGCCCCAACATCAGACATTAACCCATTGGGGGGCCATTTATCTGATTAACTGTTTATGAGCCAACAGGCTATCACGTGACAGTTATTCTCCCATGAATGAGCTAAAGTTCATTGAGCAGTGGTCTGTCTCCTCCACGGGATTACGCCTGGTGGTAAACTGGAAACTAAAGGGCCAACAACATATGGCGCAGGGGATTATGGGATTAGTTAATCAACCAGGTGACTCACACGGCCGCTAATCTGCTAAATGTTCCGATGGACAATGGACACAGACAATGACGCATAGAGGCCATGCGCGTTTTGGAGGGTCCAAATTAGACAATTAGACACGTGCACACAACTGGATATGCGCGGGGGTCTGGGAATAGAGCCGCGTGAGGTGAGGGTTTCTCTCTGAGTGCAGGTCCAAAACGATGCACGCGAGATACAGAAAAAACCCCCAGCTCCCGGCACGTGACGCTTCCGGGAAGAGGTGCGCTGAAGGTAATCATTCTGACACGAACCAAACGCCTCCTCCAAGTGCGCAAAACCGGACGCGCGCGGCGTGGATGAGAACGTGACGCACGGTCACGTCTCCACGCAAACACCGAAAGGCGCAAACATATCATCTCTGAAAAGACAGAAAACATCCGTTTGGTCCAGGAAAAACCTGATTTGATACGTGATGGAGCACATCAAACCACAAATCCATCTACTCACGGAGACGTTTCCCACACTAAGATCCACTAACTCAGAAACACGCGTGATCAAGTTCATTTATCTCAATCAATCAATCAATCAATCAATCAATCAATCCATTTATCTTAGCCAGATCCGGTTGGATATTTTAGTTTTTTTATGTCTGTCTCTGTCCAATTCCGCGGGTTATTGGATGAAACCTGCCCGTTAAGCTCCGGAAAGGTGCTGGCTTACCGTGCGGGAACGCGTTGGGCTGCACCGCGTGCAGGAACGCGCGCACCAGGTGGAACAGGATCCCGATGGGTCCCGGCTCGTAGTGCGCCAGAGTCTCGTAAACTCCCGCGGGCACGTAGCCGAAATCCAACTTTCCCGGCGGGGGCAGCCTCCGCGGCTCCGTCTCCTGCTGCAGCTCTCCGGCGGCGGCCGCCAGCACGGACAGCAGCAGCAGCAGCAGCGGGGGGGGGAATCCGGGTCCCCGCATGTTTGCGCAAACCAGACCCCAACTGGCGCAAAGAAAAAAAAAAAAACGCGTTTGGACGCTGAGAGCGCAAACTAGACGACGACTGCTTGGACTCCGGTGCTTCTTAAAGAGGGAGGAAAGGGATAAACAGGGGAAAGGGGGGGGGTGGAGAGGAGATGTAAAAGTGTTCCGCGAGACGCTGAGCGGGTTTTTAAGTGGCGCAGCTCGCGGACCCGCGCGTGCGGAGCATCTTTCCGGGCGGTGTGAGGCTCCTTTATGGACGCAAAGCGGCCGGTGTCCTGCTGCCCTGTGTCCCGGTCCTCGGTGTGAGAGCCTGTCAGCATCAGCGGGCGCGCGGGGATGCGCCGCGTGACGGGAGCGCGCGGAGCTGCGCGTCTCCGAGCGGCTGGAGGAGGAGCGCGCCCCCTGCCGGTGAACAGGAGGAGCTGCAGGACGTTTGACCCTTTTAAAAGCTGTCTTTTTTTTAGTCTAAAAAGTTAAACCCCCTTTCCTTACTCCCATTTGTACTGGTTCAAAATGTAGACATTATTCATTGGTCAAGCTTTTTCCATCTTAAGTTAATATTTCCATTATTTCACAGCAATGTGCATCATGATTTTTAAAGATTTCAAATAAATGTTGCGTAAAAAGTTTAAATCAGCAGGCTCTAAGAACTTGTTTTGTTTCCCTTTATTTCCTACACTACTTTGCAATTGTATATACAATACAGAAGTAGTTCATTAATCAAGAAATGTGCTTGCTGTTACCTAAACGTCACCAAGTATTTTCATAAGTTTAGCTAAAACAAATATGGAAATGAGATATGGCCTCAGTCTGATCAAACTCCAGTTGCCGGTAGGATTTTGTGAGCACTCAGAGGGCAGACAGAGGATGTGATGTGATTGGGGAGCGGTAATCAGGTGGGCTCTGCTCAGCTCAGCTCTTTTAGCACAATAACATCCTTGTCCTCTCTCTGGAGCACATGGGGGGCCCTGGTTCTTGGTTACAGGGGGTACCTGTGTTTAGAAACCTTTAGTTTCAGATCCCACAGGTGATTAGACCAACTGGACTAAGTAATGCAAAAAAAAAAATGCATGTGTAGTGGTTGAAAAAACATCAAAAGTTCATTATTTCCTGTGTCTGAATGTTAGTTTGAGCCCCCTGAACCCGTCAGATGTCCCGACACCCCGTGGATGTGGATTTGGGGAACTTACGGGACAGGGCCGAAGGGCGTCTCAGCCCCATAAGGAGCTTATCCCTCTGAGCATGTCTGCCGCGGATTTACTCTCCCTGACCTGCACTCCCGGTTAGGCGCTGTACACCTCTGCACTGGTTAGTGTGTGGGGGGTAAACATCTGCACACAGGGACATCACAAAAAGTTAATTTTAGCAATCCTTATGTCTGAGAGGCTGGACGTCGTTTTGGGAATGTTTCACAAGCAGGAAATCTCTCAAGTGTGTCACAGAACAAAGTGATTTTACAGAAAAAAAGATTAATTCAGCTTCCCAACAGATAGAATTATGAACAAGCCAAAGCTAGTTACTGTGAAGCATTTTAATACATCTAAGAAACAAACTTTTATTATCCCAAAGGCACAATTTAAAACAATGCAAAGGTAAGAATTAAATAAGGAACCGGACCGATGAAACAAAGCAGACCGTGTCCATTTTCAGGGGAGAAAACGTCAAGTTCCAGCTCCAAAAATAGAACCATCTTTCTTATTACAATGGTAATGGACAATATAAAGAATCTCTCTTCAAAATAGAATCAGAAAGAAGGTAATTTGTGTAAACACGACATAGATGTTCCTTCTGCATAAGATACACACATTTTCAAAGCAATAATAAATAAATTAGTGTGTAAAGTACCTGTGTTTATTAAATATGCTGATTGATGCCCACACTGAACTCCACAGTAGGTATTTCAGTTTTATGTCTGATTCTTCAGAAATCAAGTTTGAACAATGGATGGTTATAACTGCCCAAAAAAAAAATCAAATACAATAAAAAAATAAAAAGTTATTTGATATGCAAACATGAATGGATTTGAACTTGTTTAAAATCCCATTCAAATCTGTGATGTTTGGGAAAAAAACAACATTGCAGCATTCTTTCAGACAGGAACATTTTGAACAAAAATGACATAAATGCTGTTTAAATATTGGAATTTTCACCTCAATTAAAGAAAACTTTGTTCCAGGTAACTTTTCAAGGTCAGTCAACAAAAGAAGTCCAAAAGCACACATGCAAAGAAGGCATTTTGTTGTTTGAAATATTGCTTCTATTGTCCTAAGATGTAAACACGAGCACCGGTTTACAGACACTTGATACCGACCAGACACCAAGTAGAAAGCATCTCAGTCTCTGTTAAAACCCTGTTCCAACAATCATCTGCCTTTTCCATATCAAAATGAAGAGCCTGATTATGATTTGTCGCCTAATATATTCGTAAAAAATGTGATTTAAAAAAACAAAAATGCTGAAAACAAGAAGGAAGTTAGGAATATCTGCTCCTTTCTCCACAGTCTGAAATGCCCCTCTGCTCACCATCCTTCTGTGTAAGCAGCCGATTAAGATTTGTTGGGACTCGGTTTGTTAACGAAAGGTTCAGTCTGGAGCCGAGGATACAAAGCAGCCTGCAAACCAACTCCTCTACTCGCTGTGTAAACAACAGAGCTTTCCTTAAGGCTCAGTTAAAAGTATTCTTTAGCTAAGTTTACAACACTGTCGTGGGGACGATGTGCTGGAGCTTCTTAGTTGACTCCAGCTCCACTGAGGTATAAACTTTATTCACCAGTACCAAACTCTTGACTCCAATATTAACTATTTAACAGACCTGTTTGATTTTTTTACCCTTAAAATGAACCATTGCCTGATTAAAACCCCTAAAATCTATACATCTGTATAATTTTTTGCATCTCTCCATTTAATTGAGACAATTAACTTTCAACCTGGCATAAATATCCACAATTTAAAAAAAGATGTTCAGGATTGAAAGTTAAGATTGTTTTTTTAACTCTTTTTGATGCTGCTAAACACTCGGTGCCCAAAACTTCTGGTTAAGACCACTCTTCATACTTAGTTTTATGTTTTTAAATGACTTCAGTGTTCAGGCTGATTACTTGGTCTACACTGCTAAAATGATAATGATTAGTCCTTCAAAAAGTAAAAAAAACAAACATCAGCACTTGTTTTAATTGTGGAAAAGCAAACCCGATTTCAGTGTTACCTTTAAAGTCAAAGTTTCTTTTTCTGGCTTATGTGTGAAACTTCTCTCCTTCTGGTCCCAATGCTGCTCGAACAGGAAGTGCTTGTGTGCTTTCACACCCTTTCTCTCTCTCTCACACACACACACACACACACACACACACACACACACACACACCAGATCTCTCACACTGAATACTGAACCAACTTAACACGCACACACACTCACTCACACTCAGATTTGGCTGCCAGACTCACACTTTGACTCCTGCCGATTGTCAGCCAGCAGAAGTTTTCTCCGTCAAACTTCTGGGCGTCAGGCACAAACCGCAGCAGGATCGTCTTTTCGCTCACAATAACTTAGTGGGTCTCCACGGACTTTAATAAATACTTAGCCTTCTGCTGCTGTCGGCTCGGAGGCCATGTCTTTCCTGAGTGGTTGCTTGCTACATGGGTGGCTGCTGCCCGTCAGTCGATTCTGTTCCCACAGATTGTGAAGCGGTCGATCTCCAGAAGGTCTTTTTTGGGAGTTCTGTGTTTCACCTCCTGGGCCTCGTGGGCCTCCTCGCTCTCCTCCTTTGATGGCGACGCTGCAGATGGTTCCAGCTCAGGTTCAGGAGCCGGAGTCGAGGGACGGCTGGCTGGTGCAGCGGGGGGGGATTCGGCGAGGGGGGGGGGCGGGCAGATCAGTCCTGGGGGCTGGCTGGGTGGTCACAGAGGAGGAGGAGGAGGAGGAAGAGGAGGGCGTCTGGCTGCACGGCGAGGCAGGAATCTGCTCCACTCTGAGTTCGCCTGTGAAGAGCACAAGAGACGAAACATGAGTACTTTTTTTTCTTTTTCTCTGTCCATTTTATCATTTATGTTTATGTTTATGCATTTGGCAGACGCTTTTATCCACAGCGACTTACAGAGTAGACACAATATTGCATTTCTCATCACTATGACAATAAGCTATATAGAGGAGAAACACTGATCAGAGTCAGTGGTGAGATAGAGATAGAGGTAGAGGGACTACAGAAGGAGCTGTGGGGGGGGAGAGGTACGGTGGAGGTTTACGGCAAAGAGACTTGAACACTGGTCGCATAGGGGGGTTTGTTGAGGACTCCAAATGTTTAAAGAAACACAAAAAGTAAGTTGTAACTCTGGACATTCAGAAACAATAAGAGCAAAAGCTGAGGCCAGAATCTGATTCCTCTGAAAGGAACTATTCAACCTGTCCGTCCACAACTTGGCCGACATCCACCTCACTGTGGAACCCGGATTTTCCCCAAAGTACAGGGACAGCAATGAAAAAGAAATTGAGACATAAATCATACGACGGCAAAGATCTAATTACAATGCACTGCGTTCTCACTTTGTCGGCACCGAACTGCCTCGTTAGGGGAAATAAACCAAACAGAATAATTTATCATACGACTGAGAATTGAGTGAGATATTGAGATAACCATCCCTAGAGACCACTGCCTCTGATTCTTGATGGTGAAAGAGCTCAAAACACTAATGGATTAATCTGCCAATTATTGTCCTGTTTTCCATGTATTCTAAAAAACATGGACACGTTTTCTACAGTCTGAGGTTACAGCACTGAATGTGTTCTTTGTGGAGTCTTGTATTCTGCCACTGCACAATTTCCCTCTTCATCTCTGGAGATATGCAGCTTTTACGTTAATCACCACATGACCTGAAGTGACTGATGTGAAATGACATATTCATCTTTAGCCCATGCATGAAAACGTGTGCAGGCAGATGGCAGATGAACCCGGACTGTTGGAAAAACATCAGCATCTACATGAACATGATTGCGCAGTGAATCCGGTGAGGCTGCAGCTGCTTGAGGGAACAGTGAAGTAGCTCAGACGCAGGAATAAGTGTGACATTTGGGGTCCATAGTTCCAGTCCCAGTGACTACAAACATGTGAAGCCTCTCCTTGCATTGGATGTTAAAGCTTAGAGCTGGACTCTTACCTGTATTTGCCTGAGTGCATGTGTGAGCAACACGTCTAAAACAGTTAACAGAAACATGATCTTAGGCAGGATCAGTTAGAAAGCCTGAGGTATCTGTTAGAAAGCAGCTTCAGCACAGCTCGACTTTCTTTAAAGACTAAAAACCAGATATGTGGTCTGACATGGTCAAACCTCTTCCTTATATCTGCTCAAATCTTTAAGGTTCTGGTTCAATACCCATAGCTGAATGGTGAATTAAGGCTCCAAGCTCGACCTGTAACCGTTAAACCTGAAATACATCCATGGGAGGGGAAAGGACTCACAACTGAAGTGTATCCAGTGCTGTTACATTATGGACTGTCAGAAAACATACACTATCTATATATAGAACCAGATGCATGCACGCTCTTCTGGGCCACATGTCAAAGAGTCCTTGGGCAAAGCTCTGAACCCCAATCTGCAATTGCTCGACTGTAAATGCACTGTATGATTCCAGGTCCATCAACCATGTATGCACAGTTCTTAAACTAAGCGATAATGTTAAAGGGCCAGACATCCTGATAGATTAATACAATTTAGCATGTGAAAGCACCATGTTTTTAAGATTCAATTGCATTACTACATGCTTTCCTGAACATTAAAGACTTAAAATTCTACATTTTTAAATAGAAAAATGACATACATGTCCACCAAACACAATCATATGACTGACTTGATCTGTAATGTGGTTGCAAACACAGGTTTCTAGAATATATGTCCTAGTAACAGATTGTTACTTGGGTCTGGCTATGTGTGTTTACCTGAAGATGTGGGACATTTGGCAGGGTCAGCTTTGTTGGGGCTCTTTGCAGAGGAAGATGGAGCAGTTGTTGGCTTCTCAAAGAGTTTGTCCTCCATGTTGGCTCTCTTAACATAAACACATGACTTCCCCAGCAGCACAATACTGTTCAGGACTTTCAGTGTTACTAACCTGCAGAGGGAGGGGAAAGCAGTCAGGGGTAAAAAAGAAAAAAGGGACCAATAAAAATTGTCCCTTTTTTTTTTAAATATTATTGTTAAGCTATACAGCAAATATGAGTTTGGTAATTAGATAAATAGACCAGCACTGTGTGAAAATAATAATCTGCTCCCTTTGTATCGGCCTAATCAGATTTACAGGAATCCACCGAGTCTGAGTGGAAAAAGAAGCCGGAGCACAGATGAGACTGACAGGCAGACTTGTGCCAGCCAATGCCACTGATACACTTGCCTTGGATCCCATGCTGCACATGCATGGTGGCTTCATTTGCAGGGAAGCAAAGCTGAAGCACAGCAGAGAGGAAAAGTAGAAGAACCTCCTAGTTGTACTGACTCCAATTATCAAACACGTTACCAGATTCTGTCACAGCTTATGGCTCCTGCCTGTAGCTGATGGCTGATTATCACCATTTCAGAGCAGGATGTATACCATCCTTATGTGTTTGTGGGCCTTTCTCCAATACCCAGACTGACACTCTGATGAGTGGAGATGGGCACATTTGGACAGTTGAGTACAGTTGTCACACAGTGCTTGCTGTGACAGGGTGTTTGGGAACCAAGACTGTGTCAGCTGAATCTTTGCCATGGCACAGCGGTATGTTCAAGCCAGAGCTATTTTTAAATCAGGGGAAAGGGGAAGGCAAGAGATGGCACAAGAGATGACAACATTGTGTTCTTCACCCTGAGGGGAATTCTCCAATGGTACGAGACAAGTGGGATGGAGCAAAATAGACTGAATGAAGCAGCACAATTGCAGGGAGAACGGGAGGACACAGTGTTAATGCTTATGTAAGCATGGGTGCCTCAATCTGAATGTGTTTCACACAGTGCCTTCAAGTGTTAACGTGCTTCCACAGTTTTAAGATACCAAGACTGCTTCCTAAACAAGTAAAATCAAACCCCTTAATATTGAGAAAATAGCAGTCTTGGTATCTTAAAACACACACAGTGTATGTATAAGCAGGTATATATATAGAGTTATATGTACAATTTTCACAACAGAAATCAATTTCAGCTGATCATTTTTACTTTAATCTTCACAGTGAGCTTAAATTATTAAAAATAAATGACTAATGACTAAAGCTAAAAGCTTACCCGAGATAAAAGAGGAACACACAAGTCCAAGACAGTGCTCCCTGCACTTTTACTGAACTCATCACCACTCGGATAAGCTGTCACATAGAAAAGAAAGGGAAATTTGTTGAAAACATGAAGGAAAATAATTAGGCTTATACTCAAATAAGCAGCTATAGTCAGTTTAGATACATTTTTTTTTTACTTTTCTTAAGTTTTAACATTTTTCTTACATTTAGTTCCCAAAAAGCAACAAACTGAAGTCTCTTACCAGAACAGCCAGTGGTAGAGGGATGAAGCCCATTCTCCTCGCCACCGAGTCGCTGTAGTCAGTGTAAGCCTACACAGCCAAAAATACAAATTACTGTACGTAACAAAACCTACTGTACAAAATGTGTGGATTTAGAGATGTCATAAAGGTTAATATGGGCGATTCAAAAGACTTCTTACATTCTTCTGTCGACTGCTGACCAGATCAAAGGCCAGACTGGCTCTGTATTCACTGTACACCTGAGATATATAGACACATATCCATAGTAAGCATGTGATCTTTAAAAAAAAGAAGACTAGTGGTGGTGGATGTCTTACATCTGCCGGGATGTCGTTGAATTTGGTGATGAAAGCATGTTTTATGATGTCAACTGCAACTTCAGATGTGACGACCATGAAGACGTCAGGTAACAACAGCCACAGGTGCTCTGAGGGACAAATAAGACAATAGCTAGGCTTATAACTTTTCCAAGTAGTTTATTTTGAGTGCAAACAAGCAAGAAGTGACTCCCCGGCATAGACTATATTTTCTGCTAGAGACACAAAGAGAGACACAAAGGTGGAGTAACGTCAGGTCCTCTGTATATTTGCTTCACTTTGACAGTACTCCGTTAAGCCCAAATAAAAGTTTTATAGTAACATTAATAATTAAAGAATACATTCCCAATGTCCTATTCATTGAAATATTTAGGATGAAAAAGGAAAAACAAGAGTTCAAATCGAGTTAAGTTTAATTAATTTAAGCAGCTGCTTTTTCTGCTCGATAGCAAACAAAGATGTGCAGCTCCCAGGACAGTGGATTAGTAATTAACTGTTATCTGTGTGCCCATTTAGCGAAGAGCAGCTTAAGATCTGCTGATGTCAATCTGTTTTAGGGTCCAGCCGACAGACCAAGTCTGCCTCTGACAGCTTCTCTGTCATGGAGGCAGGGAGCAGGTGCTGACAGTTTTCAAAGAGCTGTCACACAGAAATGTTTGGTTTGTAAGGTGGGGGGGGGACTCCCTAAGGCACTGCAGCAGGTTAGCTGGAACAGTAAGGGAGTACCTACTTACCAAATATGTCAGCACAGTGTTTTTAGTCACTATGTTGTAAACTGAAAAGAAAAACAGGCTGGAATACCTGGGTTCCATGAGAACTGCTCCATGTTCCTGAGACAAACGATGAGCAGCAGAACATAGCTGGTGAACCTTTCTTTGATGTCTGTAAGATAGAAAATAAGCGGGAATGTGATTACAAAATCATTAAATGTGAGAAGGTTCCACATCTGTCAGCTGTATTTTGCCATGCGATGCCACAAAAGAAATGAACACCATTTCATTATTAAACCTCCTCATATCGGTGAAGACGGCCCCAAAGGCAGTCAAAGCAGCAGCACAGTTCTCATTTCATATTTGGCTCAACTTGTTTTCAGTTTTTGAAAGTGAAAAAAGAAAAATATCAGTGGTGTTGAATTAGTTATACTCCGAGATGGTCATCTGAAGCACTTTGAAACGCATTTCAAGTTTTCTTCAAGCTGTCATGGCAAAAACAAACTTCCACATGCCGTTACCTTTGTGCTGGGCTCCCAAAGCTCTTAGCTTTGTTCCACACCCTCTGGTGTGTTCATGTGCTTTACTTTTCACAAACCAAACATTCCTGCTAGATTCAGCTCGTCTCTCTGACACATCCACAAAAATAAAGGAGAGCCAGCTTAAACTGAACCTTTCCAAGACGAGTACATTGACAAAACAGTTGAAAACTGGTGCAATAAAAACATCTACCTACACCATAAAATTGTTCATTTTAATATGACATCAGATATCTTACCACTGTTTGACATTTGGAATAAGTTGTTCTTCTCAAATTTCTTGAACACGCTTCCTTTGATCTCCACAAACTGTGTTTGAGAAAAAACAGCAAAGTGAAAGAAATGTGGTCAGAATTTTAAGAAGTAAATAAAAAGAACTATTCTTTTTCCCCTGCAGCACCAGCATTTCATCAGCAGCTTCTTGGGGAACATCGGCTCGCAAATATTTTTAGTGCCGTGTTATTTTGTGCTTTCACTGAACTCATCACCACCCGATGAGGTGTTGTTTGTGTTCCTCATTAGAATATGGCGCACACACACACACACACACCAACGCGTTTACGTGCGTGAGCGTGCACGTGTACTTACATTGTTGGACATCATGATGGTAAGCAGAGACTTGTTGTGGGAATTGAAGGCGACGTTAAGAGTTGATGCTTGGACCATGATGAGGATGGAATGAAGGACTGAGGAATAAATGCTTAGGAAAACAGATTTATCAAACTGTAAAACTACATTTAAGACACTTAAAAACAGATTAAAGTATCACTAAAATCACTCTAAAAATGCTATGAGCAGTCATGAACCAATAATATATACAAATCTTAGCAGAATGGTCTCCAAACCTGTTAAAGAAACTATATCTGCAGTGTATCATTAATGTTTTGGTTATACCCAATTTCATTCCAATGACATCCAACCGGAACAAAAAAAAAATAAAAAATTGTCAAAACTTCCCTGACGCTACAAGTTCTAATGAAAAGGATACAGACGTAAAAGACGGCCATTAAAAAGTGAGGTATGACGCCTATACTGTCTCTTTTCCGTTCTTTTGGTTCGGTAGCCGTCCAGTAAAGAGCATCCAGGATGTCTTGACCAAAGGAAGAGAACAGGCGATCCGCCACCTTTCAGAAAAGTGAAACATAGCAATAATAGCACTCAGTGATAGATTGCTTTTTGCTTTTGTGTTACAAGCTGCAAACCCCTGGATCCTGTACCCAGGGACATAGTAGAGCTTTGTCAGATAGGAGTGATAGGGATGTCCTGATCCAGCTTTTTGCACTTCCGATCCGATCCCGGCCTATCAGAGCATGTATTAATGCTTAAAGTTATGTAGCCCACTTACATAGATGTCAGACTCATGTTGATCAGGGATTTATTCTTATAACAACTTAATGGTTAGGACACAGACCTGTGGGTTAGGAGATGCTAATGCTAATGGCCATATGGGATCGGAATTTAGAAAAAAAAAAAACTGGATCTGGAGTCTGGATCTGCATTTTCTCCTGCAACCGATCCGATCCAGATATCGGATCGGGACATAAGGTGTGTGACGTGAGGTACCTCTAGCATGTTGTAGATGATGTAGAGTTTGATGACAGACTGCCCTCTGATCAGATGATACATCATGGAGTAATCCACGTAATGCATCAGGGAGAAGCACAGCACCAGGATCAGCCCCTTCAGCATGTCGCAAACCTGGGCCGGCTGCAGCAGTCGGGACCCGCTGATCACACACAAACGCGCACACACACACATACGCACACAGATCAACCTTCTGTGTTTATACTGACAAAGACACAAACGACCATTCGTGTGTTTCTGAATGCTGAGACAGGCTGTTACTGCACTATTTCACATGTACATGAGTAAAGAGGTGAATGTGACTTTAACCGAGATGTGATGTGTGCTGACAAATACAGATATATTTTTTTCGTTGGAATGAACATGGGAGGCATTTACAAGCATTTGCAGCATTATCACATGCACACATTTATCTTCCAAGCTTGACATCACTCAGGCTTTGCTTCTCTGGCGGACATCGAGGCCAAGTAGCCGAGACGAGGAGGAAAAGAGATACAGTAGTTGTTTTCTACCAGAGGAGCAACGCTTGTTACTGCTAGTTATTCAAGCTTTAAATGACGGGATTCTCATCCCATGAGAGATACAGCAGGATAAGACACACTCACAGGGGAAAAAGATTAATTTCTGCTCAAAATGAGATTTTAAAAGAATACAAAAAGCAACAAGATGTGATAACACAAAACCAAGATATGAATTATTAAAGATAGCCTCTCCTTCGGACTGGGCTTTTGTCGTTCACAAGTTCTACTCTTTGATATTACTACAGTAGCTTTCTGCTGCGTTTCTGAGTTTAAATAACATGCATATGATGAAAAAATATTAAAATGTTGTTCTCATCTATTAAACACACCATGGTGAACCAATAACTATTATGATGGGTTTGACATTTTGGACAGAAATGTCTAAGAAGAGAAAATACACAGACTGCAGTCCCAGCAAAGCAAATCTTTTAAGGGTAATAAATTGTGTCAAACATGTCCAGCTTTCATTATTAATAGCTGTGGCTGGAGGCAGCAGCTTTGGAGCATATCATGAAAAGGACTGACAAATCCGTGGGACTGGTTCCTCCGTAACATGACAGGGACCACTGGGAGGGGTTGAGGAGAGCTTAACTCCAACTATTCACTGCAGTGAGTTTAACTTTCCCTGACTTTTCCTCTCTTACCACACTGACTGCCGGCTGTCAACAAACTCAAACTCTCATTTCATGATTTTCACACGGTAAAAGCGGCTTTTTGAACCTGCTGAGGTGACAAAAGCATGTGACGGCCCAACCGTCTTTCCATTGGCTCCAACAAAAGTCAACAAAAATTATTACTTTGGTGATTAATCTTGTACAAATGTGACACAATTTCACTAAAACTACGCACAAATAATCCACTAAATCACCACAGAATACAACAATTGTTTCAGAAAAGGGATTTTTGGAGGGTAGATGAGAACAGATCTGAACTTGACAGGAGCTGACTGCCGGCTTTGGGAGGAATAAGGGCCTCCCATCCTCTGAATTCAGAGGATATGCAAATCAGCTTCTGGAATAGAGTATCTCACTATTTCTGAAACAGAGTACAGAAGAGCATAAAGCAGCAAAGGGAAGGTTTAAATAAACATCTAAGCTTTTGCATGATAAAAAAGACTGGCTGTCCTCATATTGAACTTCCATTAAAGCCAATAACTTTAAGAGCATAAATAGCAAAGAGATTTGTTTTCTAATAAAAATGCTGTGTTTCAAAAGTCTATGTCTCCACCCAGTGGTCACATTTCAAAGGGTATTCATCTAAAAGGTTTTGGTATGAAATAAAAATAATATTTACTGTAATTTGTTATCTGAAAACAATATCAACAAATCATTTTCTATGTTATCTTACCAAATACACTGAATTGAGATTATGTCTTCTCGTGGGGCAAAAAGTAAGACATTAATAGATATTCACAGAACTCAGGCTTTTTCTTCCTTCAAAGTCCTGTAAGTACGTATTAGTTTAACCTTCCCGGTGGCTGAGGTGCTGACACAGAGAAAGCTCCTGCTGGAGCTCGCTGCATACAAAGCTGCTGCACCACAAAGCCGTTCTCACCATCTCCATGACAGCCACGAATATGATGTTTGAGAGCAGTCAGCAGTGCGTTCAAAGTAAACCGCATCGAATTCACCCCAAATCAGCCTCAAACAAGTTAAAAGCCAGAGCTGGTTAAAGAAGAGGAAGCTCCATCGCCGATTCAAGGTCTTGTAAGTGAAGCTGACAAAAAGTACTTTGCTGCTGTAGAGCAGTTGGGAAAGAACAGAAAGAGTAAATAAATAAATAAATCACTTTCCTAACCTTTATAACCTCCCACAGACTGCTCCGGAGAGCCGCACAATAATCAGCCCTCCAGCACGACAATATGCAGATGTGCAAGAAACACCCAGCATGCTCAGATACTCCCTGGAGATGTTGGGGAAACAGAGCTTATGAGGGACCAACGGGGCTGCCTAGGCTTCAAAACTGGAACACGAGCTGTGGTTCCAAGCTAAAATTTTAACAGACGAAATGGAGATGAATGGAGACGGGTGAACTGATAAGGGGGGGGCATTCGGGAGGGTGATCACATTCACAAAGCCGCCCTGGGCTTGTGGAGCGTACCTGCTTCTCCTGCAGAAGGGGCACGTGCGCACCCTGCAGGGGGAGGAAGTAAGGGGAGAGTCAGGAAGAGGGTGAGGAGCGCAGGAGGGGGTGGAGCTACCACTGGGGGGGGCCAGAGGACACAATATATACGCTCTTATCTTTGCTGGATTCACTGCTGCAGCTCAGTAAAAAAGATCTGAATAAATCGCATAACTTTATCACTTACTGTAGTTTTTTCTTTGTTTCTGAGACTAAAGAGTCATAAAACGAACAAGGGACATTTTTATCTATTTTAATGTAAATATGTTATGTTTTAATATAGAAAGTATCTGAATTAAAAGTATAATAGTTTTGATATGAGAGTAAAAATGAGAACAAAAAGAATGATTTCCTAATCATGTTCTAAATTCAAAAAGTAGGAATACTTAAATAGTAAAGTGCACTTTGCCAAGGCCTTCTCTCTTTTTTCCTCACATATACACACAAACACACAGTTGTAAGTGTGTGTTGCGAAAAGAAGCTGAATGAAAAGGCTCAAAAGTACTCTCAATATTTGACAAGTTTACGTTTAAAAAATTAAGTGTTCTGTTAAACATAGAAAGCATCCTGTGCTCATTTAATGAAGAAGTACACAATTTTTTCCAGGATCATACCCATCTTTTACACACACTATATCATACATGTGTTTGTTTACCTCTGAGAATTAAGAGCTTTTGTCACATAACAATTTAGATTTCAACCAAATCTTATCAAAGGAGTGCAAGTTTGGTTTTTATGTTGTCGTTCAGCCAGAAAAAATGTGCATTTCCATCCAACTATCAAGCTAATTCTAATACAGAATATCTAAACATTTTACTCTACAAAGAGTACACAATAAGTTGTGTTTAAGCGCTGACCTGAAGCCGCAGCATGGCAGAGTGAGGAGGCGGAGCAGGGCCAGCAGCACCCTGAGGGGGAGTAGCGTGAACACATAGAGGAAGGCGTCCGCACACAGGAAGAAACCGAAGATCATCAGCTGGAACAGTCAACAACAACAGCCCAGAGTCAAACAACTGTCAGCATCGATACGCAGTTTGCTTGGCAATAAAATAAACAAATAGAAAAAAAAAAATCCCTTTAAAAAAAGCCACTCTGTGATTTCTCATGAATTCCAGCAGAAAAAAATTGATCAACTTGCTCTGTTTCTTTTCCAGTGGGAGAAAAACAAAGTGAATGTCCAGAAAGAGATTTGATTACAAACAAAAATACAAATTAAAAAAACAAAAAACAAAGAAAGCTTTGGCCTGAACCCAATCAGGCAGCAGACACATACCTTCACCGTTTGGAATAAATAACGAGCCATTAGTTTGCCATTTTATTCTGGCTTTCGGAGGAAATGATTTATGCTTTTTGATATCTTCTGAGATGTTCTCCAATAAGAAACACGTGTAGGCACATGAATATTGGTGGAATCTGGTGGGAGGGTTTGTCACTCATTGGCTGATTCTGTTTTACTTTCGATGGAGTCAGGTATCCTAAAGCTGGCTTCTGTCAGAGAGGCCTTTCACGTTTACACAAATTCCCCAGACTTACCAGAGGAATCCAAAATACAGACAGAGCTATGTTATTCTGGGCAGGTCCTCACTGCCCTCTCAACTCTGAAAACTGGATTAACTGTGTATAAAGGTAAATGTAGAGGACAGTCTAATAAGCCTGTGAAATAAAAAAACAGGTTCCCGGAAATACAAAAATAAATGAGAAATACTTTTTTTTAATCAAACGAAATAAATACTGATTACTTTGTCATTTCTTTACCCCATGCCATTACGGAAAAATGTGAAGAATGAAGAATGCTACAGCGCCATCTGATGGCTAAAAAGAAGAACAACAAAAATACACATAAATGTATTCAAAAAACAATGGCGGTCATTGATTAAAAAAAAAAAAAAACTACATTTGTGCAGGTAATTTGGTACGTTGTCATTATCAGCTAATATTCTGAGTGTATTTACTGACTATTTAGTGAAGATAATATCTAGATAATTGTGTTGTGTTGTGATCTGTTATGATCGATAGCTTGTTCCATCTGTTATTTGTTTAATCTCTACTGGATAAATAACCAGATCAAGTCAAACAAACGCATGGGTTTAAAGATGTTACAGGCAAATGATTTACTGAGGCTCAGAGCGGGGCTGTTAGTGGGTTTGTGAGGTTTAGAAGTGATGCCGGCTAACTGTTTGTAAAATTATAAGCCACCAGATGGACATAGCTGGATAAAAAACGAGGAGGAGTTTGAGGCCATCCCTGTACTTTACCTTCTCCAGCTCCTTGGGAATACGCATGCATGTGTAAACTCTCTCCCGGCGCTCGGTGTACTTTGCCTCATTGTGCTCCAGGAAGTATCCTCTGGTGAGTTCTGCGCTAATGAAGCGCGTCAGTGATGGATCTGGAAAAACAGCAACAGTGTCATCACAAAGCCATTATCTGCAGCAACTGTAGCCTAAACACAATGAGACTGTGAGGGAGGTGAAAGAGGAGGACAGTTCTCAGGGTCATGAAAAGTATGTCTTTATCTAAAAGTGAACATGTTTATTTATTCTTAAGAAAAAGACCGTATATTGTGAAATTTCCCCAAGTGGCTGTAGCTGAGCATGTTAAGCTTCGGTTCCAACTACATATTTTCATAATTTCAACATATATTTGCTTAGTTTATTGTCAAATAAAAATGTAAACAATTATCTAAGTGTCTTAAATTGCTGCAGTTATTGAGTGCACTTAGTATGTTTTGCTTTTTATGTGACTCTTGGTTGACTGGTGTAGTTAAACTGTAATGCTAGATAGTTATCAATCAAATATATTATTACAAGGTAAAAAAATAAATAAATAAATAAAACGTAGCCAAGAATATGTATCATGAAGCACCAGGCAGGACAAACTGAAAGTGAAAGCATGTGTACTGTTAAAAATGTCTTGCTCCATATTTATATTAACACAAGTTTACAGTTACTGTTCATCTTTTGATCTAAATTAAAAACATCTTCCCTACTTGCAATAGTATTTGTGCGGATGCTAAATAATATGTAGAGTTGCTCAAACAAAGATTTACTCTTCAAGAGCACAAAGACCACGAAGGAAGTTAATAACAACATTAATCGGAGACCAGAGCAGTGTCTGTTATGTCCTTCAACTCTAAATTGTCTTTCTAGCCAGCATGTTGTCACTATTTGTACTTTATACTGTTCTGTATTTATTCAACTGTGTTTGCCTGATACCAGATGCACCCTTTACGAGATAAAAAATGGAGAAGTCACACAGCCTTCTGAGAGGGGGTGCAGCCTAAAATGCTGCACGCTTAAATGTTGGTATTTTAAACCCTCCAGGGTGCAAAAACTGCATTTAATTTGTGTGTACTAAAAAGGGTCAAATGTCATGCATTCTGAAGAATGTGAAGAGGAAGATTTTGTTTCTATTTTCCAATTCATTTTGTTATAGTTTCACAATGCATGCATTAATAAAACTTCTATGCAAATCAACAGTATTATCACTAATATATATTAAATTTTCTAGGGTTGGATCATTGGTACATATATACATACACACATTGGTCAAGTTACTAGTTCTGCCTCATCCTACCTAGTCTCTTTGTAATAAACTTAAAATGCTTCCCCCCCTATTTTTCTTGAACTGTGGCTGGTTGGGGCAAACTTTGAAGACGCACAGGAGACCGTGTAGATTCATTAAAACTTGTGATAAACACCATTAAGAGGACAAAAAGAGGATATTTGTTATGCAGAGTGGCTAGAGTGTGTGTTTTTAGGTATCAAGAAACAGAATTGTTGGCTGGTAAAAGAAGCTAGCTAACTGCAAACAAGCTGGCGGGACAGCTGTTAGACACACAGACGGTACTCGTTTGGCATATTTTCGCATAATTCGCTTTTTAAAACTGAATTCTGCCTTTAACGATACAGTTTCGTTTGTTACTTCGGCTATATCAATGCAAAGCGAAGGCAGTTAGGTGAAAACCTCAGAGATGTTTAACGGCTGTGTTAACGTCAGTTGGGGAGAGCTGACGGTTACCTGCTGGGAGCTCGCGCTGCTCCCTCCTGACAGCGCTAATGTCGTAAAATCCCAACGTTTCCGGCAGCTCCGCGGCTATTCCGATCTTATGCGACCTGTGCAGTTCCTCCCAGGGTCTTTTTTGTCTTTTCCTCAGCTCAATTTCGGCTTCTTTCTCTTCTGACAGCTCCGTCCCCGACAAGTCCGCCATCTTTACTGTGGTCACAGCGTGCGTCGCCCCGTGCAGCGTCATCACGTGACCTGGTCGTTTACGTCAAAATTATCCAGCGATGTTGTAAATAAAAAAAATATTTTCAAACCAAAAACGATCCGGAGGACCTTCATAGCCAATTAAATTACTTTTTATGTATAAGACTTTTTCTCAAAGTAATTTCAAAGGTATACAATGTAAATGCTGTTTAACGATACACAAGTTATTAATTATTTATTTATGAAAGATTAACACTTTTTAGTGACACTCTCACACAATCATTTGTGAACCGTTGTATTTAAGAATATGCAACATGGACAGTGTATTATTTAATGTTGTAATTTAAGTCCAGCATATCTTCAGCCACAGAAAAGTTTCACGTGGATGCTATGCAGCATATTTTCCAGTTGGTGTCGCCAACACACTACCAAATCTTTGTAGTTTTAAAGTCTACCCAACAACAGGGCAGAGGCCTCTTTACATCGAGGTATCTGGAAAAGTAACGCGTTTATGTTCCAGTTTTGAGTAGTCAACATGGCCACTTCATACACTCAGTTTCAGCTTGAAATTACGTTTTTGGATAAACTTTGCAGGGTGGAGAGTTTATAGAATGTTAATGCAATCATGGCTATTTCAATTTAAATATTTAAAAGGATTAAAGATCATTGAAATTTAATATGCAATCAATTATTAAAATAGTTTCACTAGATATCTTTCTAAACTCACAGATTATTTTGTTTCACCTAAAGTTGGGAAAACTTCCTTTTCACTGAGGAAAATTGAGCTTTACAATGTTACAACAGTCATTTGACATTGTTTCAAAAATCGAATAAAACTCTCAAATGGCTAACTACAACGTTTATGGGTGAGACACTATTCTTGTGGTAATTCAGACTCATTAAAAAAAGTTTTCTGTTAAACAGGTTAGTTAAACCAAATGATTATTTCCAGACAAGAAAGCGGCAGTTTAACATGTTGCAGCTCAACATGTGTGGAACTAAGCCAAATTCACCTTCTTTTTAAGCACGGTTTATTGGCACACTTAATGGTAAAGCATACATACCAGACATCAGATATGACACTGAACATCTCTGCTATATAATGTACAAATGGTGTCTAATAATACTAGGCTCAAACATATTTAGAAATGTGTTAGATTTCTTACAAATGCACAAATAAATACCCATTAGATCCAATTGTATAAAGACACCTGTAATTGTCTTTTTGCCCATTTTCAAACAAAAGTCCAACAAAAGAGATCAGGGATATCAGTTCAGAGTTCAATTGTAAAGAACAATTGTGAACACAAACACAGGGATCTTGAAGCGTTTCTGTGGGGTGGATGGGATTTGATCTCTTTTTCAAAATGTAAAATCCGTTTATTCCCACAGTTTGTCACAGCACACTCAAGAAACATGACGATGTGACAGTGTGGCTGCTTATCTTTATTGTGGCTTTGGTTCTGATCTAGCAAGAGAAGATAGCGAACGTTAAACGTTTGGTTCAAAAAGAGGTTCACCAGTCTCCATCCAAACCACCCAACAGAAATCCAAATCTCTGGTACAAAACAAAACAGCTGCCGTATCCAAACTGCTTTCAAGTGGCTGATTTACAGTGGACAAAATAGATCCCACCTCTATTTACAGAGCTACAAACCTTGTTACAGTGTTCCCAAACTGATGAACACAAAGAAAGAATCTGATTGATGTGTTTTAGAAAGCACACATATCAAATCAAATAAAATTCATATAAAAATCATGCAGGAAAAAGCTTTAGTATCAGTTTGGGAGTAGGTCGTTAAAGGGAAAGAAGTCCAATTTTCCAGGAGTAAAGAGAGAAAAAACAGCAATGATGCATCAACGCATGTCGGCAAAGTTCACATACTGATCGGCAAAATTACAACGTGACTGCAAAGGATTCTGAGAAGTAAAATACCAATAGACTATGAACACAATCAAACCGGATTGCATGAAATCACAATCTGTGACAACCACAGTAATGTGGAAAAAGAATCTTAGGACACGACTCCCCCTTGTTTGGAAAGCATCCATATCAGCAGAGAACTTTTTATTTCCTCTTAATTGGAAATGAAAATAAACAGCGAGAGCAGAAACAAACCAACGGCCGACTGAAACTCTAATAAAAATGCAATTGCCTAAAACAATGTTTCATCCGTCTCCGGTGAGGTGAGATGCTTCCGCGGGCTGTAAAAAACAACCCTCCCTCCGTGAGCTCTCTATTTCGGAGACATTTTGTTTGTTGTTTTTTTACTCTTCTCCTTCCCACCGTCTGCCGTCGGTGTGATGGCTTGTGACCTGCGGGTCAACCAATCACAGCGGTGGGTATTCCTCCAGACGAGGGGGTTCGTATCTGAGGGTCCGAGGAGGAGAAATTGATGGGAAATTTCCCTCTGGATTCTTGGGAAAAAAGAAAAAAAAGCCCCCTCTCTACGTCGCCGTTGTTTTTTTACATAACTGTTGCATACGTCTCGTACGCACTGTTTGTTTGTGGATATTGCTGAGCGGTGCAGCCAGTTTTTCAGCTTTCTTCTAGGTGTTCAAATAATCAGAGAAGAAGAAAACTATCCAAGATGGATGCAGTTTGGCTGAGTTTGTAGATGAGGGTTCTGATTCAGTACACTTATGAAGGGTTGTGGGACTGCCCTCAGAATGAGGGGAGCACGTTTAAAAGTCCAGTCCACGTCTGCTGTTTTCTTCTTCTTCTTCTTCTTCTTCTTCTTCTTCTTCTTCGTTTCTCTCCTGCGTTCTACTGCGAGGGCTGGGGCGCCGTGCTCTCGGGTTTGGTGTCCTGGGCGGCGGGCGGCTTGCTGCTCCAGGGCCCGTTGTTTCCCAGAGCCGGGGAGCTGTTGAAGTCGTCCTCGTCGTCCAGCCCGTTGCTGGCGTCGTACTGCGTGTTCTCCAGGCGCGTGATCAGGCGCTCGTCCTCGTCCCCGAACTCGCCGCCCATCAGGGTCGGCTCGCCCACCACCATCACGTCCTGCAGGGGTAAGAAGACAGAGGAGAAAAAACTTAAACCCCTACATCTCGAAAAGCCACGTTCCTCTCTTTAAATAACACTTTCCATTGGTAAACGTCTCGAGCCCTTTGGATGTTGACTCCAAAATCAGTCTAAGTTCTTTTGTCGTATTTATTTTTACCCCCCCGGTTTGTGAATTCTCTTTAATTCTTCAACTAGCTTTGAAATCTGGTCCAGAAATATAATTTATTTCTGCTCAAGCAACAGTGACATGCCTTAGATTGGCCTTGATTTTAGGAAATTTACACAGCAAAGTGAAGAAAAAAAGTCATCCAATGAGAAACCAATGTATATCTGCTCATCTAATTCACTGATCAATGCACTGGTCACGAGTATAAAATGAATATCGATGCACACAAAATGACCTCATAACAACATTTGCATTACTTCAAATAAATTATGGTACTTTTGAATACAAATTAAATAGTTCAGCCACCTTTTAACCTGAAATGCATAAAGACAAACATTAACAGAGATGGTTCACAGGACTTTACAGCCAGAATCAGGCTTTATCTGAAGGGGGTGGGAATTTTCCTCCGTGCCACAAAGTGACAGCGTGCGTGTGTCATTCTTTATCCAGTGAACCCGTTCACACGGTGGCGTCCTCCTCAAAGCTCTGCGTGCAAATGAAACCTTCCCGTACGGCGTGGACTCCCCCGGTGCTCCGTACTCACCCCAATCAATACTCATCATGTAAGACATATTTCACAGAGATGGCCCCTCTCACAGCGGGTCATGGAAGGGAAAGGACAGAGATTTATCCATTATCTATGATATCTGTGACTCTTGAGATGGGAACAAATCCCAGAACAAATGAAGAGGGATGCCCCCCCTCACAGGGCCCGCGTTTAGTCGGGGTTTTTAAATTCCTGTTCCTATTCGTGGATTAAAACGTTGACCAATAGGTTTATGAGTCACGGCTGAATTTATTTATGTCTCGCCCCCCCCCCCCCCTTCGCTGGCGAGCGTTAGCGTCACCCATCACAATCTCTGAAGAGGCTGTACAGTTAAATGGAGCACATGCTTCACTGGCCATATGTGTCAAACGCGGAGATCTTAACCCCTCCTCAGCCATCTCCTCTTCAGCAAACTCACACACACTCACACAGACACAGACACACACAAGCACAGCAGCCATAAGCCAACAGCACAATAACACACACCTGAACTGAAGGACAAACGCGTCTAAAGGCAGAAGAAACCTTATAAAAAATCACACAACACAGAAACAAACATTCAACGAGCACTGATGTAATCACCCAAACAAAAGCAACGCAACTTGGCACACAGCAAACTTCCCCATCCACAAAAATGACAACACAAACACAAACACACTGTGATGGGAGGATCCAACGAGGAGAAGTCCCGAATACCACCGCCTACCCCCCCCCAGCGGCCACTTCTGCACCCCTCCACGCCTTAATCAGGCTAATTAATTTAGGTGAGCTTTTCTACTAAATGACAATATCCACACTGATTTGTCAATTTGCATAGTTAATTAAGTCATTAGCTAAAAATGCAGTGATTGCCAACAAGCCTTGCGTTCGCCATCTGTTCCTGTGAGGAGGCCCGACAACCTACCTCTGGCCAATTTTAGGCATCCCACCCCCCCACCCTTCGGGGGAAAAAAAACAGAAAATCCCTCTGACGATAACAGCTGGTGACTAGCCTGAGACCGGGGGAGCGCTAATTGTGAGCTAATTAATACTGTATACTTGTCTACTCATCTTGTTAAGAGTTAGCTTTCATTCTAGCTGAGTGGCGAGGATTTGAATGGGCCGACGCAGCCGACGAACGCCTTTCCCCGCTCCCTCCATTCACTGATAGGTGCCATTAGCATATTTTCACAGAGATTGGCTGAGATGAATGGAGGGGGACTCTGAATTTAGCGGGGATTGGGATGAGGCAAAGCAGAAGAATGCATACAGGTGTTCACTTGCACCTGATTCCCTTTCAAATACCGGAAAAAAAATAGGCATGACACATTCACTTGCCAAGTATTCATTGGACTAGACTGGATATAATAAGTTAGATGAGCCAATTTGAAGGTATTGATAAAAAACTGTTTAAATGAAATTAGGCAGATCTGCCAACCTAATAGTTCTTATCAATCTGATTGGGTCAGAAATGGATTAAAATCATACTCTGCCATGATAATAAGAAAATGGAGTGGCAGAAAAATATAAAAGCTTATGTTGGTTTACTACAATAAAACTATCAGCAAACAGTAAAACATTAACCAGTAATAATGGCTGATTCTATCTGCTGCTTTAATTGAATTAGCACTTATTTACATTTAATTTTGCCAGAAAAGTATGATATTTGTTGGGTTACACTACAACTAAAAAGGCTTTATGTGATAAATGTTTCACTGGTATATCACTGGTATAAACTACATGACAAAATGATTTGTCGTAGCCAAAATGATCATCTCAAACATCAGGTTTGATATGGTGGGACTATGTTCCTAATTTGAGGTTTCTAAATTCCTCCAAATGTCCCAAACATTGTTCGTTCTGTCCCTTTAGCTGTGGAGCCGTTTCTGACTGAATCAGATGTTCTAACCATCAACAAATCTCACGAACAGACCAAACCCGGTGATAAGAAACGCTTGCATTTCAATAGGCCTTCAGCATTTGCCAAATAACGTGTTAATCTATCTCTCAGTAATTCCAAGTAAACAGTGCATTTGTTGGGAATTATTTTCTGTAGCAGATTGACACACAGTTGGTGCTTTAGCGAGTAAATGCAGCCATCTGTGTGCTAATTGAACAGAAAGAATTCTCTATCAGATTGTGGATTCAGGGCCAGTGCTTGTCACTTTATTTGAGTCTGAAACAAGACGTGCATCTGTGATAATTATCGGGGAAAAAGATCGTCTTTGTCTCATCCATAAGATGAATAGTTTTTGCTCCCCAAATTTCGATTTAAGTTCAAAATATTATACGTTTAATTCGCAAAATATAGCAAGTAACCAGAACTGCCGTTTAAATACACTCAAGTTTTATTCTGCAACATGTAACCAGATTGCATTCACAATGCTGAATTAAAAAAATAAGTATTTTTGACCTATTTTCCACACTTTGACCACTCGAGGTCACTGTTGCTCATTGCATGAACACCCCACCACCACCATCCCTCCCCCATGCCTCCGGTAACCCCCTCTTTCCCTTTTGCGAGGGTCCACTCCTTATTGGTATTACACTCACGTAGGCGTGTGTTCAGCCACAAACGAACAACTTCTCAGACAAAGACAGAAGGCGCGCAACATATGTAACCAGCATGCTAGCAGCCACGCCGTCCGTCTTTAAGAGGCGTGTGAATGTAGAATATGAGTGGGTGGAAGGTGGTGGGGGGGGGGGAGGGAGGGAGAAAGGGCTGTGATGGAGAGAGTGTGCATGTGAAAGAGGATGGAGCGGAGGGGTGGAGGGTGTATACAGATATCGGTGATAATGAGAGCTGGCACAGAGCCACGCTGGCTTCTAGAGAGAAAACAATTTGCGCGTGTTGTGTGTGTATATGTGTGCGAGACGTACATTACGGACGTGTGAGACGGGGGGAGAAAGGAGGAAAAGAACAGAGCTAAGGAGGGGGAAAAAAAAAAACAAATAAGATGAAGAGACAGCCAACGACTGGGCAGAATACGCGTGGAGGTGACCCGGAGCCTACCCCTGTTCAAAACCCCAACTAGAAGAATAAGGAAATAAGATAACCAGCAGGTGAACAACCACTGGGAGATTTAATATAAAGGAGGCGAGGTAACCAGAGCAGCTAGGATTACAATTCTTCAACCATATCAATCTATTTCACTATTTTTAAAGCAGGTTCAAACACAAAATATCTTTCTATGAATAAACCTTTTGGTAGTGAAAGTTTTGGCGACATAAATGTATGATGTAACAAAGCTCTGGATCATTTAAACATAACAATTCAAACACAAAAACTCATCATAAATCTTCTTTTAAAACAAATTAAGAGCATGAGAACATCATTTCTGGGGAACTGGGCATCTCCACTGAACGCAGTGCACGAAAAAGGCATTAGTGCACTTAAATATCCCATTAAGCTGAATTAGTCTTGTGTACAGGATGAACACACATTAATGTCAACCAGCAACACTTTATGTTTAGCATCATCACACTTTCTGCGGCACTAAAATGATCCGTGTTCAGCAAACGGCGGCGTGCGGCCCCAGCGAGGCTACGGCTCCGTAAATTGGACGCCGTGGAGTAAATGTTATGTAAATGTCTTCCACCACGAGCAGCATATGGACTAAAAGTCGAGCTGCCACAGACAACAAACTCACAATGGAGTCAAATCCTGGAGAGGAGCACCAGTCGAGTGGCAATACTCAGCGATTTCACAGCCTGTTTGAATTAAAGTAGTAATAAAGAAGCACATTCACAAACTTTAAGTAGTACACGCTGTACTTTTCAATGTCGTAACTGGAGAGTATTTTTAAAAAAAGAAAAAAACTCATCAAACACATCCAAACGTTCAAACAGAGAAAAGGTTCACTGTCCTGTGAACTGGGGAAAAAAAAAGAAAGAATGTATGACGAGTTGGGAATGAAAATGTTTTGATAGTAATGGTGGCAAACAAAATTAGTTTTACAGGTTGAACTGATATTGAAGGCAAATGTCCAAGATCCAGTGGACCCTAATCTGTTTTAGGGATTCAGACCGGAACCAACCATCCCCATCTCCAAGAGTCAGTATCGAGTTTCACATGAACTTATCTAAAGACGTTTCTTTTTTCTTGATTCCTTTCACATGATTTCCCGAGGGGCACGCCGTCTGAAATTCCTGGGAAATTTGTCACCCCCTCCTGTTGGGCTGTTGGGAGTTTGGTGCCTTGCTCACGGTCTGGAAATGTTCAGCAGGGAGGCTGCGAGAGGCCAGAGTTTGACTTTCCCCCGCCCACATTTTCCCCATTTTCTCCCGAGACACAGAGGTTTTTTTTCCTCAGACCTCCAGGCTACGGCCACTCAATGGAGGAGGAGCGAGGTCAGCCGGGTCTTTGGAAACATGCATATTCCGGGAAGCTTTTTCATTACTTTGAGAAAACAGTGAAAACTATAGCCCGACAACACCTACTTTAAAGTGGCACAAGCGCTTTGTTATTCATTTGCTTTAATTGTATCTGCTTTTGTAGGATTTCCCCGCTTTGATCATTTTCTAATGTCGTTTGTGTCTCTCCGAATTATTTGACAGGTTTGCTTTTTTTTTTCTTTCCCAAAAGTCCCCCGGAGCCTTCTTGTGTCTCACCGCATGGGCTTGAGTTGCTTTTATACCTTCTCCTCCTGGGGCTTTTTCTTTTCATTTGTGCAAATAAATGAAACCTAATAGCTGCAATACCATTAGGGATTTTCTCCCGTTTGTTCGTGACGCCTTGCGAACATGCAATTCGAGATATAGAAAAATAATAATAAAAAAAAAGAGGAGAGGCAAACCGATAGGGGCTGATGCTTACAGGTACCTGACTGGAGAGGCTGAAGTTGGTGGCGGGGCTGCGCTTCTTGCTGCCGGCGGTGCCCACGCTGCTGTTGGCGCTGCTGGCCGAGTTCTTCCGTTTCCTCCTCTTGGTGGTGGTCTGTCGGGCGGGCTCGGCTTTGGCGCGACCAGTAAAAGAGAAACACAGGCCAGGCCAACAACATAATGCATACAGACGGGGCAAAAGTGCGGAGCCGCGTGCGAAAGTTATCATTCTATTTCCTGACCAGGAGAACGACAAAGTAAAGGAAACATGCAGAGGCCGTTGCTAAAATTGCTTGTATACATGCGTGTGAGTACACAGAACAAACACACACACAGACAGGTTACGCAGATAAGAGCCACCATGCAACAACCATCCATGCTTTTGTTATCTTCCGAGGCGAAACCCCACAAGTGTTAACATCTCCCAAGACATGCACAAGTGAGAAAGAAGCCCTTTATCGTTTGCATGAATGCTCAACAATGAACCCGAGGTTCAATATGACGTTCCACAAAAGCAGGAACCTGATTGTAAAAGGTCTCCGCTGGAGCAGAAAACACAGGTGTTTGTGTTGCAAAATGTAATTTTATACTGTTTCCCTTCTGCTAGCTTTGCTGGGATCGGTTAGCATGGGTGATTAATAGTTTTAACTACACTTCAGCCAGGTCTTCACATGCACAGTTTATGAGTTTATGTAAAAATAAGCTGTTGAGCATCCATGATAAGGTGGAAAACAAAAAAACGTATTTCAATCCATTCCGCTGAGCATCAAAATGCTCCGTTGTAATATGACTTTGGATAATTAACAGCGCAAGAGAGAAGATACCTTTTTTGTGATTTGTGGGAAATATTTCCGTTTTGAAGTTCTGTGGATGTCCAGCTGAAACCGGAGCCAAAATCAATTTTATTTGACGCAGGTGGTTGAATAATTTCTTCAAATATTTATGACAGAATGAGATCAGAGACAACAAGGGAGAGAAATATAATGCAGATACTACTTAACCAAAGTGGGTTTCTTATACTTTACATGCTTGCAAAAGGTGCCACTGAACCATAAGTTAAATGATTATTACCATCAAAAAGATATAAATCCTTGACACAGGTTAAACACAGACCTGAGTGTTTTTAGTTATTACAAAAGAAATAATGCCGTGCATAACTTATGAATACAAGATTTCGCTAATCCTGCCAACATTTGTGATAAAACATTATTCCTTTTAATCTCAGGAGAGGCGAGAAAACACAGCTGTGATCTTCAAACATTACTGAAATTCTCTCATTTTTTCGAGGTTCTTTCTAATCACACCAAGGGAGATTTTCTCGTTCTCAGTTATAAAAACCAGAGACTCGTGATAAAAAAACACAACCGAAACGATAAATCAGAACCAGAACAATGAAGAATAATTTTTATCAGTATATCTCTTTTTTTTGGTATTTTTATCCCTGACTTTGACAGACGCGCAAAAGAGGGAGTCTATTGTGAGGGACAATCATTTTCTGTTGTCCCACTGGCTTCCTCCAATCCAGAGTCGGTGACGCACTAAAATCGCTTCCATTTCCACCAAAAGGACTTATCAGAGCATAAATGCACCAGCGGCTTCCTTCCTGGCCCAATCCCAACCAGTTTCCAGGCAGGAGAAGAATTGCAGGAAAAGGGGAATAACACGCCGCCAATAAGGAAAATCTTAATTTAAGCTTAACAGGAGAAAAAAACAACCACTGTGTCAAAAATATGGACGGATAACATGAAACTGCCTTTTCCTCAGGGGTCAAAAACAGAAAAGCCTGACTCCAAGAAACACTTGAGATATTTGAAATGTAACTATTTACCACATGATGACTTAGGGAACCAAAGACACCATATAAAAATAAAGGACATTACATCCAAATGTATCCCAGAGTGTTTCATATTTTCAAAAATAACGATCTGTGCGGTCAGGAGTTTTTCATATTCAGAAAATGTTCTCAAAGCTTTTTTATTTTCTTTCTCATTCTGTTTTTTTCTTCTCTTTGAAAAATGTCACTGAAGCCGGGTTGCCGTATCTGCTAGTTTGATTACACCCCACACTCTTAATTAAAGTTGCACAGGTCTGAGTCAAAGGCTTTTTGACTGGTGTTGGTTTTTAAAGACATCTCGTCACGCCTCGCTAAGCATTGCTGTAATTTGCAGCCACTCCGAAGTGTCCAAAAAAAAAAAAAAAAAAAAAAAAAAAAAAA